ATATATATATATATATATATATATATATATATTGCATATCAATCAATCAATAAATTAACTAATAAATATTCACTTATATGTGATGGTAAAATCAATTATTCTGTATTTATTTATTTGATGTGTGCATAAATCAAAATATTCTAACTTATTATAAACATAAAATATTACAATTATATATATGCTAAGGTGTTCTGAGCGGTTGCTAAACAGTTGATACAGCATGATACACAGACAGAGAGCCAGACTCAGAATACTCCATCGGTGTAAATCTAAGGGATTTCTGGGGTATTTCATTATCTGCTTGAAGTCTGATCAGTAAGAAAAAGATAAAACGTCCAAAGTCAGAACAGGCTGGAGGTCTACGGTGAGTCTGCTTGCTCCAGGAGGATTCAGAGTCAGACATTTCTCTTAGTTTTGAAAGAAGCCTGAGGCAATTTGCACACTAGCAGTATGTTAGCTCACATAATAAATCAAACACATGTCTCAATTTGACTTTGTGACTCTATTGTGAAGCCGATAAAACATCACCAGCTGACAGATTAAAGCCATCAAACTTCATTAACACTGCGCGAGTCGCTGACGTCTCAAAGTCACGGTCTCCAGTTCTTTGAGATACTATAAAACACTGTCGCCTTTCGTTTTCATTTGCGCTGCATCTGTCATCTGTTGAGTAGGAGACGTGCGGTTGTGACATCTGTTCAGCCCGAGCTAATAATATCTCTCATCCGGCAAGAACTAAAGCACATCAACACGATTTACAAAGCAAATGAGATATAAAAAGCCAGGCTGAAATAAAGCACTACCGACAAGATAAACTAGTTTACTGGCAAGGTGCACGGCGATAGCGCGGTCTTCACTTTAACACACTTATCTGAGTGTCAGGACCATGTTATCTGGGAATAACGGCACCGTATCGCAACAAAACAGACATAAACGCATCTGCAATTCTGCACTGATCTTATTCATCAGAGTTCCAGTACATTATTACTTTCCAAATATATCAGCCTTTAAAGGGATGGGATCAGACTATGGAAGCACAGCTATTTATGCCAAGGAATAAAATCATAAAAAAGGTCATTTCAACTTGTTCTCACACAACACTATAATAATAATAATAAAAATCATAAATAAACTTACATTTCTGAGAAGAAAAGTCCAAATTATGATATAAACTTGCATTTCTGATACGAAAAGTCCAAATTGTGAGATATAAACTCTCATTTCTGAGATGAAAAGACATCTCAGAAATTATATCTTTGAGAATATATGATATGCGTGAGAAGAAAGTCAAAACTGTGAGATTTAAACTCACAATTGGGAGAAAAAAAGTCCAAATTCTGAGATAAAAAACTCGTAATTCTGAGGAAAAAAGTGTCAAAATGTTAAGATATCAACATAATTGCGTGGAAAAAAAAGTCCAAATTGTGCAACACAAACAATTCTGTGATATAAATTTTGAGATTTAAACTCGAGAAAAAAGTCAGAACTGTGGGATGTTAACTGGTAATTCGGAGAAGAAAAATCAATCAATCAATCTATCTATCTATCTATCTATCTATCTATCTATCTATCTATCTATCCTAGCGACATGCTAATCATGCTAGAAACATGTTAGCGACATGCTAGTAACTTGCTAGTCATGCTAACAACATGCTAGTAACATGCTAATCATGCTAGAAACATGTTAGTGACATGCTAGTAATGTGCTTGTCATGCTAGCAACATGCTAGTAACTTATTAATCATGCTAGCAACATGCTAGTTATTTGCTAATAATGCTAGTGATATGCTAGTAACATGCTAATCATGCTGGAAACATGCTAGCAACAGGCTAGTAACTGGCTAATCATGTTAGCAACATGCTAATCATGCTTACAACATGGTAGTGACATGCTAGTAACTTGCTAATCATGCTTACAACATGCTAACAACTTCTTAATCATGCTAGCAACATGCTAGTAACATGCTAATCATGCTAGAAACATGGTCGTGACATGCTAGTAACATATGCTAATCATGTTAGCAACATGCTAGTTACTTGATAATCATGCTAGCGAGCATGCTAGTAACATGCTAATCATTCTAGAAACATGCTAGCAACATGCTAGTTACTTGCTAATCATGCTAGCAAAATGCTAGTAACATGATAATCATGCTAAAAACATGCTAGTGACATGCTAGTATCTTGCTAATCATGCTAGAAACATGTTATTTGCTAATCATGCTAGCAACATGCTAGTCACTTGTTAATCATGCTAACAACAGGGTAGTCACTTGCTAATCACGCTAACAACATGCTAGTAACATGCTAATCATGCCAGCAATATGCTAGTAACAGGGTAATCATGCTAAAAACATGCTAGAAACATGTTATCAACATCTATCTAATCTATCTAAATTTTCAAACTTCAGGCTTTTACAACCATGTTATCAACATCTATCTAATCTATCTAAATTTTCAAACTTCAGGCTTTTACAACGGCTTTAAACTTTCCGGCTAGGCTTTCTCAAGCCAACCTAAAGTTTGTCTTGACAAACTTTTTTATCTAGTTTTTGTTTAACTTTGATGTTATGTGTAACAAAATGTCTTTCTCTGTGTCCAGGTTTGACTGTAGTAAACTTAACGCAGAAACTGGCATTTCAAACCAACATTTCAAAAAATAAATCTAAACTTTTACAAAAAGTTGTCTTTGAGAATGTCTAAATATAAATCCAATTCCACAACTATGTTTAAAAACAACTAGAGAATGTAGGAGCTATATAGGAATCTAGTGGCTAAACCATGGAATTGCAGATGCTTTTCTTTTCTTTTTTTTATTCCCACCAGATTGTAACAGTCACCAGTTTATTTTGTAGTTCCCCTCCCTGGCACTAGGGGGAGTTGTAACTATTCTAGCTCACCCTTTATAAGGAAGCAAGTAAGAGGGTAGCCATGTGCTTTGGCAGGGCTAGGAGCTCACCTTTGTTCAAGCCATTGTATGAGCCCTATTTTGAGGAACATCATTGTTCTTTCAGCTCAATGTAAGTGATGTTTTTGGTTTTTGTTGGATGAAGTGTGTATATGTAATGTTTCGTGTTTGGTCTGATTATTTAATTTTGTTTGTATACAGAGGGTTTTCTTTTGTGGGTGTATGGGCTGTGCCAACCATCAACCATGAGGTTGAAAAGAGCAAGGACTATTTCATCCTGATTATTTGTTTGGACTGATTTTTCTTGGGATATACCTTGATGTTTGTTCTGGAATGGGAAATGGATGCTTAATGTAGACATTAACCACCGTGAGCTTCAACAACAATGTTCATCTGTGATTCTCTACTCCTTTAAGAAGATAGTTATAAGGTAATGTGGTTTCATGTTTGTATGTGATCAGGTTCAATGGTGTATTTTTCTGTGAAAGTTTGTTTTTCTTTTCTTTTTTTGTTTTATATTGTACTGGGGTTAAAAAGGAAAAAATTACTTTAAAATATAGTTGGTGGATGATCCCCCTCAGATTTTGTGTAACTCTGGTTGTTTTATTATAGCTGGTGTTACAAGATGGCACTAATCTGCCTTCAAAAACGGGATTTTAAAGGCATTGTCTTTATTTTAACATGAAACACTGCCATAATTGAAAAATAATATAAAAATATTAGGGGGAAAAAATTTCAATAGGAAAAAAGGATCATAATTATTGCATAAATATTAATTAGTACCATGAAATTCTCTCAAAATACAAAAGAGAAAAGAAAAAATATTATAGAACAAAAACATATTTCATTGATTTTACTGGAAATTTAAAAAAGTTACATTTCACCGCGAGCAACACAAATGTGACCCTAAATGAACAACAAAAGGGTAAAAAAAGTGGGGGGAAAAGTCAGAATCATGAGATAAAAAGTTAGTTACCTTTTAATTTTTTTTAATTCATCAGCTTCTATTTTAAGCATCATCAGACACATTCCTGCAGAAACAATCGCACCAGAAATACCACAACACCACCAGATGTATATATACACAGCACCTTTCCTTACAAAGCACACAAAACATCATAAATGGGATTTGAAGCGTGACATGTCGAGATGAGCCCGTGGAGGTTTTAAAGCAGTCGGGTGCCTCTCTTCTCATAATGCTCATCACCATCGGCGAGCCTGAAGGACCAAGAGAATCGAGAGCGTCTGTGTCCGTACAGACAGCTGACCTCTGAAAGAGAAACTTTGCAACCGCACCAAACAAAACACTACAGACGAGACCGTCAGAAAGGATATTCATGTCAGAAATTCCTTCATGCTTCACAAACACTGTATGATTGCATGAGGATGTTTGGCATTTTCTGCCTGTCGAATGTTATTAAGATGCATAACCTTGTGGTCACATTTTCTCATACACCGAAAGGACCCTCGAGGTACAACAAACACCTTCTTACATTTACATGGTAGTAATGTGATACGCAGTTTATTCTGAGGGAATTAGTTGATTCGTGGGCCACGAGTGAATCCTGTGACATTAATCCGCAAGCGTGCAGCTCAGCTCACAGACAGACTGAAGCCTGAACAGGACACTCAAGTTTAAACAGACAAACCTAACATAATTCTACTATCAATAATAAACAAACCTTCAGTGCATGACAGCAGCAAACACACACACAGGACACAAAATCACACGAGATCTCATTAATATCTCAATTAGTTTTGTTAGACTGCAATGAGGTTTTTTTTCTGAACTCTCCTGCTTCTCAGATGTTTTTCCTCTCACTCTCAGTAACTGAGAGAAAGAGCATCAGATTCTCCACAATTTCTCAGATTAACCCATAATAATTTTACAGCTCTATACTCTTACTTTATATCAACTTTTGACTCATTTGTGTCTATTTGTATTTCTCCAAAGGATTTTAGGGAGAAACATTCGAGATAAACTTAAGCAAAACACATGACATCTGAACTATAAAAGAGCAACATCTTACCAATACATCTTACTTTTTAATGTAAAAAAAAATCAGTTGCATCTAAAATAAATAATCTAATCTAAATAAAAAATCTAAATAAATTATCATTTTCTGTATGTGTGTGTATATATTTTTTTATTTATTTTTTTTTTTTTTTACCATTTATTACCATAAATCATTTACTTGTTTACATGCAACTGCTAATTTAAGATGTAAGAACATGCAACTGCTAATATTTATTTATACAATTATTTATAAATAATTAAATTATTAATGTGTGTGTGTGTGCATATGAATAAAATTATTTGAATAAAACTAAATTACAGTTTTTAAAAACTAAACTATATATACTAAACTAAGAACTATATGTGTGTGTGTGTGTGTGTGTGTGTGTGTGTGTGTATATATATATATACATATAGCATTTTTAAAACGCAACAACACAACAGCAGTTGTCATATTCTGGGCTTTTGACATGAAATAAAAATGGACTTTTTTTTAATGTGGTGCACTGGTTATACTTTCTACATATTTTACTTGCTACTCCAAAAAATAAACAAATACAAATGAAATGTAACCAATATAGCTTAATAATAACTTGCTCCACAGCTACAATTTATATATATATGTGTGTATATATATACATATACAGTATGTGTGTGTGTGTGTGTGGCTGCTAAGCTGTTGCATGATACAGTACAGAGAGACAAACTCAAAACACTCCATTCATGTAAGTCCAAGGGATTTCTGGGATATTTCTTTACCTTAAACACAACCACATTACATGTGAGCTACAAAAAGAACAAACTCTGAGGAAATACATATTTCTTTAGGCAAAGGGTTTTTTGAAAAAACACAATCACACACTCCTGAACTGTCATAAACAGGCACAAAGCAGTAATCTCGAGGGTTTACCTGCGGAATCCTCCTGTGATGCTGACGGTGGCGGATGGGTTGACACAGATGACAGCTTCCTCCACTATAATCTTCAGAGCGCTGGCCTCTGTCCTGCTCACCGGCTTACTGATGTCCTCATAAAACAAGAACCCTGAGCAGAGTGGATGAATAAGAGATTGAATGACAAACACCCAACAACTGTTGCACAAACTAGGCTTTTACATTGTCTGAAGAATTCCTGAGTGCGAGGTGTTTGCCTGCAAAAACTCGCTAAATGTGGAGAAATGTAGCATTCCATCACTTGCTCACCAATGGATCCATCTCCTGTTGTCGCTCACATCCAAATCCAGCCACATATTAGTTTAGAGCTGTTTAAACGCTGCTTGATCTGTGCAGATTTCTCTCCTGATTCACACCAGAACACTTTTTCACTGGAGGAAGAGTTATTATGGATTATGGAGTTAAAAACGTCTTAATGCTGGATTTGTTTCAACTTTTGTCTCCTCCAGATGTTAACTGATGGACTGGAGTGCTGTGGATTACTTGTGGATTATTGTGATGTTTTTATCAGCTCTCATTCTGACGGCACCCATTCACTGCAGAGTAAGTGATGCAATGCTACATTTCTCCAAATCTGATGAAGAAACAAACTCATCTTTGATGGCCTGAGGGTGAGTAAAGTTTCTGCAGGTTTTTGGGTGAACTATTCCTTTAAAGAACAGCATGGCACATGCACAAAAGAAAATAATAAAATAATAAAATAAAAAAGGTACTACTGCCAAAACTTTCTTTGTCAGCCTTCAAGACAAACATACAGTAGACGTTCCTGGTTTTTATCTTTGCTTTTTTGATCTGCTTTCTAATATTGTGAACTTCTTCCCTTGTGCCGTTGTCACATGTAACCAGCGGTTTCCAGAAATAAAAAACCCATTAATTTTCTCCATAGAGAAATGACTTTTAGTGATAAAGCACCTTGAGTGACAGACTTGAGTGCACTTTAAAGTTGCTTTGGATAAAAGCATCTGCTGAATGCATAAATGCAAATGTAAAACATGCATCACCCAAAATCATGATATAAGATCCACCAACCAGTCTCTACGTTCTCAAACTACGTATATATTTGTATATATCTGAATGCTTTGCAATAAAGGTAAAATATATCATTTTTATACTTATGATTTCAAAGTTAAAACTATTCAAAAGTTTGAAGTTGGTAAGATTTAAAATTATTTTAAAAGAAGTCTCTTCTGCTCACCAAGGCCGCATTAATTTAGTCAAAAATGTGAAATATTATTACAATTTAAAATAACTGTTCTATGTGAATATCTGTTAAAATGTAATTTATTTCTGTGATGCGCAGCTGTATTTTCAGCATCATTACTCCAGTCTTCAGTGTCACATGATCTTCAGAAATCATTCTAATATGCTGATTTGCTGCTCAAGAAACATTTCTGATTATCATCAATGTTGAAAACATTTGTGCTGCACAATATTTTTGTGGAAACTGTGATACATTTTATTTTTCAGGATTCACAGATGAACAGAAAGTTCAGAAGAACAGCATTTATCTGAAATAGAAATTTTTGGTAACATTATAAATGCTTATACTAGCACTTTTGATCAATTTAATGCGTGCTTGCTGGAAACAACGTTTGGTAAACATTATAACACTTTATAAGTCGGTACTGATGCATGCTGCTATACATAGATAAAGCACTTTTGGAGAAAAGCATCACATATTTGATGTCGTTCACTTATAATCATCCTTCACACAAAACCTCAGGTTGAACTTCAAAACAGACACATCACAAGTGCACAGCCGGGTAAATCACTACAAAAACCAAGACCTTTTCCAACAGGAGAGCGTCTGATCCGCCTCTCACCCGACTGGAATAATTGCATAATTGTTTGACTATTGCATAATTGTTTGAAGCCAGTGTGTTGTTTATAGATCAGCAGGTCGTAAATGAGTGCCTGAAGACAGCGGTGGAAAATTACGAGGCCTGGCGATTGAAAAATACTAGCGATGTGTGTTAGGAAACAGTCTCTGCCTCATTAAACTTACAGTAGATTTTCCTAAACAATCAGTAATCATGAATCCATATTGAGACTTGAGGCCATAAAACAACAGGTCAGATGAGGCAATCGCTTTAAACGCTAACAATAAAATCATATCATAATTCATAAATCAGCGGGAACACAGCTGGCCTTTTCAGCCTGATTGATGAGCTCTGAATGTATAACAACCAAAACCGTCACCATTCTTCCGTGCACTTCCTTCCGCCTCCCAGGAGGCTTTTGATACGTGATGCTCCACATGAATCCAGACTCATCGATAAGTGTATTTATATTCCGAGGGGTTTTGTGTGCGACGCTCCCGAAGCACAGTACGAGTGGTAAACAGTGTGATTTCAGCGGCGCAGGAGCCCTCGGTCCCAGACACACACCGTCAGAGGCCGACAGCTGCATAAAAATGACCAGCAAACGATGAGTGTGGTTTGGCGGAACATTTATCATGTCTACACTGTGTTTTTACTCTGAGAGAGAGAGAGAGAGAGAGAGAGAGACAGAGAGAGAGGGTGAGGAAAAAAAATTAACTTAAATGATTTTAGCAAATGGCTGCAATATAACAAAGAGTGAAAAATTTAAGGGGGTCTGAATACTTTCCGTACCCACTGTGTATATATATATATATATATATATATATACACACAAAGGCTTTTGGATTCCCGTTGTTTTTTATACATAATTTCTTCATTTTTTTAGGTTTTGCTTTTAGATATATATCTAGACATTCTAAAAGATTACGTTTTGTCAAGGTTTAGATATTTTTGGTTAGATAAGTATCAGGTTTTATATTATGATTACAGTCAAACATTAAATTCTTCTTAGAAAGGGAACACATTTTTGAAAGCATTTTTGTTACTCAGTATTTGATGATTAAAAAAATCTAACAAAATAAGGATTGGATAGTGATAATTCAAAACACTTTATACAAACATTTTGTAATTAATTTATATTTTTAATTCAATGTAATTCAATTAATGTTAATAAAACTTCAGAACAGAACGTTTTTTCGTATTTCCCATTCATTTCCTATGTCGGTCATTTTTGACCGCGAAGTCGTCGACCCTTTAACATATCCGAATCATGTCCATGATTTTTTTGTGTGTTCATATTACTAATGTGACAAAAGTCACCAAGTGTCATCTCATTCTGATGAAGCTAAGATTTGTAAAATTTCAAAATATAACATTTTTCAGTCAAAAATGACCGAAGAGGGCCAGAAGGTTAAATAAATTCAAACACTTCTAGAAAAAAGTGACTCTTCTGTGAAAACATTATAAACTGTGGTAAAACAGTGTTGCTTTGGACGCATACTCTGTACGCAGATGGTAAAAACATGGTATTCCTGGAAGTACTTAAGGGCTGGGAATTGGCATAAACCTCCCAATTCTATATTATAATAATTTTGTTATATATATTGTTTGTAATAATATGTTCTTTTTAAAGTGTTTTTATTAAGTATGTTTTATTAAGTATTTTTATTAATTTAAATATTAAATTGTAATTACAAAAGTAGTTTAAAATAATCATTAGAATTTAAAATAAGTATTTTTGTCACGAATTCGGTCCATGGACTTCCGTTTATTCACCACCAGAGGTCACCCTTTCCATTACATTGACTCTCGGACAACACAAACTGTTGCATAGCACCCCGGACTACATATCCCATCATTCTTTGGCCACAGCTAATCTTATCTTCCCGAGTCTAGTCTAGTCACAGTTGATCTTCCTGAGTCGCGTCTAGTCACAGTTGATCGTCATGAGTCAAATCAAGTCACAGTTTATTATCCTGAGTCTGGTCAAGTCACAGCTGACAATTTTACAAATAAATATTTAGCTGTCAATTCAATGTGTCTGATTTTATTCTTATTTTTTTTTATTAAGTATTAGGTACAATTTCGTTTTTGTTTGTTTGTTTGTTTTTGTCTTTTGCTTTTAGAATTGTATATATTTTGTCTCTCTGTGTCCTAGATGTTCATTTATGTTTTAATATTTTACAAGTACCGTTTAAAATAATTAAAAACGTAAATTAAAAGTATTTTTCAACTAAATATTTAGCTGCTGATTCAATAATAATATTTCTGATTAAGTGTTAAGTATATTTTATTAAGGATTTTTTATGCATTTAGCATGTTATACATTTTGGATCTCAGTGTCCAGGATGTTAATTTCTGTTTTAATACTTTAAATATTTAAATATAAAAAAATGTGCAGTAATTATTGGAGCATTGTTTATAATAAATGAAATAAATGTCCAGGATGTTGATTGCTGTTTTTAAATGTTTAAATACAAAAAAAAAGCAATTATAAAGTACTGTTCAAAATCATTAAAAAAAAGTAATAATAAATGAAAACAATGTTGTGTAGTCAAGTATTTTTCAGCTAAATTAAAACTTTTTCAACGAATGGCTTCGAAAAACACAAATATTCCAGCACTTTTACATTTTAAATGAGCATGTCTCAAGACAACGTGTTACTAGCATCTAAAAAGCTTTTATTTTCATTATTGTGCTGATTTAAAAATAGTTTGTGTCAAGAATCACATTTTGTAACAAAAGAGATTTTTCTCACCCCGAGTAAATATTGTGTATTTTGGACATTTTTTTGTGCATATATATTTATACATATCCATATGATATAATATAATGATCACAGTTGAAATGATCAAACCCCTTCAGTCCGAGCGTCAGTGTTTACCTGCGGTCTGCATGCGGTTCAGTCTGATGCTGGGTTCACTCAGCACCTGTTCAAACGTCCGCAGTCCTCTACAGAACCAGCTCTCTGCCGTCTTGAGTCCAACCCCGAAGACACTGCTGAACAACTGAGCAGCAAACATGAACACACACACACATGAACACACACACACACACACACACACACATACACACACACACACA